ACACACACACACACACACACACACACACACACACACACACACACATACAGAGCATATACTACTTAGATCTATTGGCTGTATCAAACAGCAAGCCAACTAGTCCACATCTCTCCTAGAAAGCATAGGAAACATTCACACATGGAGAGACATAACATCCCCTATGGTCCTACTTTTGACTCAAACAGGACATTTCACACAGTCACCTCTTCTACTGATCTGCCCCCCCATTCTCACATTTTTCTGGGTAGAATTATGACCCATCTTGTCAAACTTCAATCCCACCTTGCAGCTTACCAAAGATGTAATAGCTTCCTGTATTGCTAACTGCCTAGCAGTGTATTTGGAACAGAATGCCTGGAAAAACGGCTGCATTTGGCTCCTGAGTCAGAAGATACACAGACCTTTCGGTCATTATGCAAGGATACAACTTCCCACTTCTATGTACTAACAAGTTCTGCTGACAAGATTAATTTCCAGTCACATTTTGGAAAATTACATTGTCCAAAATAAGGTTTTCTGATTTCTATGCCACAAGCACAGTAATTTTTAATAAACAGAAAAGCGAAAGCCCAATAACCAAATGCAGATATTTCACAGGAAATAGTTAAATATGGATCTTAATAGTATGGGGAACTCAGAAGTAGGAATCTCATGCTGCCCATCGGCCAAATTGTGTAAGTGTCCTAATTCCTGCATTATAAGCAGAATTGAAATCAATATCATGTATAGTTATGGCATTATACTTTTCCCTTTCAAAATCATTGCTAAAAATCACCTTATTCAAATAATTCCATCTTCTGAAATGTCAGAAGATACCCATAAACTCTGATGACAGACAACACCCACACTCTGTCACAGAGAATTGTCAAACACTATAGAAATATAATCTTATGAAGAGGAACTGAAAGACAAGATTTAAATATATTATAAAAATGTGTGGCACCATATGAATGATGTATAAAATATTTATATTTTTCCAAGGCAAAAGAAAAAAAGGGGGGAAGTCACATTTAGAAAGACCTCTGCTCTTAGAAAGTACATTGTATAATATTTCATAAGATCCCCCAAGATTCAATATACTAACTTGTTCACCCAGACTGCCTTTTTCAGGAGGACTTACTTGAAACTCTGATAACATTCAGTGTCAAACATTTGCTATAATTCAGAAAATCTGAAAGGAGACAAATACTTATATATTCACAGATACCCCCAAAAAGGAATGAATGGAAATTTTAGCTTCTTCAATGGCTCCTTAAAAAGCATGTTGGGAATGCTATCCTAGATAGGACAGCAGGTAAAATGAGGACTGTCTTATTCTGACCATTTATTATAATCCCATTTTTCTCCTTAAAGATGGACCTCTATCATCTTGGAGTACCACTTTGTCAAGATAACTCCATCTAGTATCATTATGGTGCTCCATATTTAAATTATTGTGGACGTTCAGCTCAGCTCAACTCTTATTTCAGTGAAGGTATAAGAAAGCATCTTTGGAGATAAAGCAGCCATGTACTTGACTCTGATTTACAGAATGACCATAGCCTAGCCAACCACTATTATAAGGATAATTTATGGATTTATCTTAGCCAACTATTTCATTAACATTTTTAAACATCTTTAACACAGATTTTTTTCTGGCCAGAATTAATGTTTTGCCATCTATAGTTTTGGAAAGCAGAACAACATCTCCCTAAAGACTGTCTCTACCAGTGTACAGAAGGATCTGTTGAATCAGTTACTTGTGTTGTCTTGTCCCATGTATCAGTTTTGGTGCCCTGTTTTAATAACACCCCTACTATTTAACCTCTGGAACAAGAAATGCTTGCTTTCTGTAGTGGACCTCTCTTCTGAAATAATCAGGATAAAGATGCTAAATTTTGTTCAGAATTGTTGGAGGATGTCAATTTATGCTGGAATTGTTAATTATAATTTATACTGCTATTTGATTACGTTTTAAAAATGTATATACTATTAATTATTCTATCCTTTTCATCATTAGTATTTCTTACATTTATTTTTACCTTGTAATAGTTTTGGTCATTGGTTGTATATATACAAACTATCTATAGGGCTCCAAATTGATCAGGCCAAAATCATTGACATATTTTGGGACAAGTACTTCTGAGAGTGGAATTGGTATTTAAAAGAGATACGAAAAGTTTCATCCACTGGAACACATTAGAGTGCCCTTCATCTTGTCAACAGGATCTGGGTCCATCCTCTGGTCAAGGGAGAGAGAGTTGAAAATGGTTTCAAAATAATTGCTGCCTATGATCTGATGTCAGTGTCAGTTTTGTATTATATGCTTCTGAGGAAACATGATGCAGTCAGTCTGCTGAAGCTAAGTAGGTATAGGTCTAACCAGTAACAAGATGGGGAACAGCTAAAATGTCCCAAGTTAGATAAAGGAAGAAAGTGAAATGCAAATATACTAAAGCAAATTAAAACATTGACTATGATACTCCATGAGATGTGAAGTCACTTTCAAAACCACATTCAACGTCTATTCCCAAAATAATTTTCATTTTTAAAAACAACTTTTAGAAACCTATAAGAATGTGCACTCTACCTGATCTTCCAGCTTTGAGTTCTTATCTACAATCTGTAGCATATGTTCTCTCAAGAAGATATTCTCATGTTCTAAAAGCTTGCTTCTTTTAATCTACAAAGAAAATAGATGTGTACGTTACATCAAATGTAATAGATTAGAAAGCACTCTTATTAATACATTCTCTTTTTAGTATTGTTTTAAAGGTGATCAAAATATGGGGGAAATCTTCACTGTTGCTCAGACTTCAGAGAGGACTGGAGAAAAAATAGTCACTGATTAACTGGTTCCCTTTTGTGTTTTGGAATGTCTGTTTCCACTGTAGTACCAGCTATGTTTCATTGGAAGGATCGATAATGAAGCTCAAGCTCAGATATTTTGGCCACCTAATGCGAAGAGAGATCTCTTTGGAGAAGACCCTGATGCTGGGAAAGATTGAAGGCAAAAGGAGAAGAGGACGGCAG